AACCAGAAAAGCTAAAGAGCTGAAATTTTATGGGAATGTTCCCCGTCCAAGTAGGTACCAATGAGCCTAAACTCAACCCCCAGCTAGGCTTGGTACCCGCGTACGGACCCCCCAAAATTTTTCCCGCGCAAATTCATAACTCGAGGATCTGAGATGCTAGAAAGCTGAAATTTTAAGGGAATGTTCCTCGTCCAAGTAGGTACTAATGAGCTTAAACTCGACCTCCGGGTGAGCGTGGTACCCGAGTACGGGCCCGCCAAAATTCCTCCCGCATAAATTTATAACTCGCGGTTCTGAGAAGCTAGAAAGTTGAAATTTTAAAGGGGTGTTTCCTGCCAGTTTTGGCGGGCAGTCTTAATTTGTTTAGCTGGAAGGGTTTGCAAAAAAAAACCGATGCCGGTAGCAATAAAAACTTGCGGGAAACTCTGCAAAAAACGCATCTTCGCACGGGCAGCCCGTGCATTGGCCATTTATTTCATTGTTGTCACTGCAAGAACATTCCACCACAGCCGCATATAAAGGGGAGGGAAACATGGAGGATGGTTAAAAGTAGTAAAAATGGAAGATTAAAACAAGCAATAAAATGAATCCTATTGCTCCATACCAGTTTAGTCAAGAACTGAACCATGGAAAATGATAGATGTTCATTTGTCAGTGAAAAAAATGGATTAAGTCCGACATTTTGTGAAATGGGAATCAAATTGCAAAGGCTCAAGGAGTACTGTACTATGTTATAATTGACTGAGACATTGAGATCAATTCCTAAAAAATTAGCAAAAATCAGGAGGACATCGATAATGCAACGATCAAATTGATCCACGATACTTGAACCGAGCATCGTTACAGTAGTGAATTGACTCTTTGGCCCTTGTGCAGAAGCTGAACCCTGTTTAGGTAAAAAATAAAACAAAGCGATAAATAGTAATTGCATGTGGACAACTTCAGTCTAGAGTTTAGATAAAGATATTCTGGTTTATAAAATAGTACAGCAATCGTTTCAGGACGTGGGCGCGATTCATCAGCAGGGTATCACCACGCAGCAGTACTGGAAGTAGGCGCTATGGTGCTACAAAATATGTTCAGCGCTCTGTCATTTCTGCATTATCGTAAAGATGATGATTTCGTCGATCGCTTATCTTATTTTTATACTTCCTCATTCCTCATTATGATGGCCGTTCTGGTCAGTTTCAAACAGGTCAGTTGTGATAGTACAAAATCCATTATTAAAATATAGCTTGGATAACTACTTTTTCTTCGCACACATTCTAAAGCAACTTGCTTGCCTGTTTGCCGGTCACACGCATCAAAACAGTGTGCCCGCGCCTAGTAACACTATTTGCGGTAAGCGGTCATAATGGTCGATAGCATTTCTGTTCAGGGAATGTGTTGACTAAGATAAGTCAGCAAGGGGCAAAATTTTACAAAATGAGCAATAAAATCGTTTGGGAAATGCTAAACTGACACTAGAAACAATGGCAAGATCCAGAAAGTTTCATCTTACACAAAAATTTCGACTATTAACAAATCTGGGCAGCGACAGAATTGCGACTTTAACTAAAAGCGATTGGCGCCAGTTGGTCAACGAACGTGAATTTCTGACTAAACTTCGTCTGAAAGAGAAAGACGCCGCTGACTTGTGGAATTGAAAAATAGCAAACTCAGGCTGTAATGATCTCGCTCAGTTTCCACGTAAGTCCTGTAATAGCCGGGCAGCCTTTCGCCTGCGCATCTTTTATGCTCTTCAGTATTAGCAGAATTCTTGTTGAAGAAAAATATATTGTAGTTTGGTGGTCGACCTCTCGAATGTTGGGTGCCTGCACAGTTCACGAGCTCATGGGAGGCATATACGGAAATGTACTGCTGGGCGCAGAACACCTACTGGGTTCCAATAGAACAGGTAAATGCGCAATTACATACTTTGTCTTTTTCAGTATCAGTGTACTGGGATCAAATACACCGAGATATTGGTGATACTATTTCGAAGTTCTAATGATGTAGAAATGCGGCACACACACCACAACGGTGAAGGTTAGGACTGGCGGAACGTAGACCAGTGGAAGAGGGTTGACATAACAGCAGTTTGCATGACTTTGGATGTAAATAGCACTGGGAACTGGAAACTCCTGGACAGTATTTTCCAAAATTTTTTGCTTAATATTTTTCAAAATTCTGTACACTGATTTCTGTCCAAAATTTTAATATGTATTGTATTCATAATTTTTTCCTCTTTTTCAGGATATTCCAGTAGATGTAGCGGAACGTGAATATCGCCAGATATCATATTATCAGTGGGTGCCATTTTTCCTCCTTATCGAAGCTTTCCTCTATTACATTCCGTGCTTAGTTTGGCGTCTGATGAGTGATAAGTCGGGTAAAGCTTAACAGTTGTTTCGAGATTGCATTTCTACTAAAGCAGCGCATTAATTTCTAAGATATCATGAGAATTCGAGCGTTTCCTTGTACGTATCACCTTATCTGGTTTGATTCAGTAGTCCACATCTACATTCGCTTCCCCACAGCATTGAACTTTATTGCAGGTGCCGATCGGTGACGTTACTGCAATTCTCACTTTTTGTTGACATAAAAAAATCTTTTTTCCCAGAGTTTCCTGCCTACTGCAATTGCATGGTAAGGCGTAAAAGATGGAGAAGGTAGGACTCAAATCAGTAATGTACACAATTTTCTACGTTACATACAGGCGGCGTGGACAAAATTTGTCGTGGTAGATAAAAACAGCAACCTTTGACTGCCTCTAAATTTCGTATCCAAAAACTTTCCTTTTTCTAAAAAAGTTTAGAGTTGATTTTAGCTCCCTATCCAAATCTTTATTTCCGCTTATCACATACAAATGAATCTCTCTGAAATAAGAAGGAAGGATTCTTCTCTTTGTCTTCCCCCATCCGCCTGAATATTTACTGATTCGAGCAATACCTTAATTT